AAAAAAAAAAGAAAAAGAAAAAGAAAGAAAACAACATGTTGGTAGAGTTAAGGCAAATATTAAGCATTAAAAAAAAGATAGATTGATGTAATGAAATCAAAGTAACAACATTACCCTCTATAATTAAAAGTAAATTAAAATCTAGAACAATTCAAATCTATGTGGTTGTCTATAGCAACTCAATTTCTTTTCTTTTCTTTCTTTTTTAAAAAGCATATTTAGTAAAGGATCTACAGGGTCTCACTATGTAGATCGAACTTGTAGTGATCGCTCCTGTTTTTTGCCCTCCCAAGCACTGGGATTACAGGCGCATGCCACTAGGCCCAGTGTCATTCACTGTCTCAGTGTGCTCTGGGGGCAGGGCCGGCACTGCAGGCCGAGGATCGAACCCCTGGCCCCTGCATCTGCCTAAGCAGGTGCTTTAATCTGCTGAGCTATCTGGCTGGTTCAACAACTCAATTTCTATTGCATTTTTCTGCTCACAATGAAAAGTACGTGGGCTATTATAAAATAGGAAGATCCTCATTTTTAAACTTTATGTTCATATTATTTGTTGCTGTTAATTTTTAGACTTTAGGGCAAAGAAGCTTCTCTCTAGCACCACAGCAACAACCTCACTATAGCACAGCAGCAATAATACCCTTCATGTAAAAACATTATAGCAAGTGAATTAAGACTTGCTTCTAAAATGTTATCATTTAAAAGTATAACTTGGCAATTCTTTGGTTCTGTGAACAGTCCGTGTACTTTGCAAAAACATACAGAAATTTAATAATTATATCTGTAAAGGGAAATAAAATAATGTACAACATTCCCTCAGATTCTCTGGGTTAAATGAGCTTGATTTGTTTGTAAAAATTAATCAACTATCTTCCTTAGGCCATTCTAAGACTACATGTACATAGCAATGATGATAAGACCCATGTGATATCTGAATTTCAATAGTTCCTCCCTAGATAATCCGACAAACAAGAGATCTCCATAAGTGAACAGAAAGTCTTCTCAGAGGATATGAAAGAAAATAGATTTGTAGTTAAAAGTTATGATTGGCTTGGAGATTGAACCCAAGTCCTTGTGTATAATAAGCATAAGCATAACTCTACCAGTGCATTATGCCCTCAGCCCCAAAGTCTTTGTGTGTATGTATGTAATAAATTTCTTAAACTACACTACTGCACTATAAAGTTTTAAAATAAAATCTGACAGGGAAAACAGCTCAGTATCAGACATAGTAAAATTAATGGGCCCAAGTAAACAGCTAAATATCACTGTCCCTTTTTATAAAGTTCCATTTTATCTTTCTTTTATCCTGTGAGGGGGAAAACCAAATGATTTCATCTTCTTGTTGTGTGAAAATACTGAGCCCAGCATAATCGGAATTAGCAGATTATATTTTTGTAAGTCAGGAATAAGAATTTTAGTTCTAGAGAAGTCACTCTATTTTTTGACATAATCCCCCACCTTTAAAATTTAGTAATAGCTTTACTATATGATCAATGGGACAACTCTTTGGAGAATCCTGAGATAAACAGGCTTCATGCATGAACTATTAATCTCACATCCATCCACTCTATGTTTCAGGTCAGCAGAGCACAACAGTGGAGAGCATTTGGCTTAAACATTAAGTAAAGCATTTACCATATGTAGTGTATGACACTTCCGGACTTGGTGACATTTTGGGTTTTGAAGTAGCTTGCGGGGACCCCCTAGGTGCTGAAAGAGAGAACTCAGATGGTAAGTCATTTGGTTTTAGCATCTTTCAGTCACCTAAGGCACAACAAGGAATAGCTTGAACACTGATGAAACGAAGTTTTCAAGTGTATGTATTGTTACCAAATAGTTTTATTCTCTTCGTGTATATCAGCTAGGTAACTTTATATATTTATGTATTAGAGTATATTATTAGTATAATAAGTTTTTAATACTTGAATCATTAAAATAGTTTTAATGCTACCAAATATTTTCCTTTTGCAAAACTTTAGTGTTAGTATATTTTCAATTAGTAGTATACTGGATCACTGTAACTCTTTTTTTTTGTGAGCAGGCCATACATTAGTGATAATTTTAAGGTAGGGGAAGCACATTTAGTGATAGTGGAGAGGTAGGACGCAGTCTTCCTCTGCGGAATAGGCAGGTTACTCTGCCCAGGAATGTGCTTGATGATCCCCATCTTAAATAATGAGAAACTCTGTGGAGTAAACCTTCCCATGATGTACTTTTTAACCAAGGTTAAAAATATACTGCAAATACTTTTGTAATTACTGTGGAAGACCTGTTTCACAAAGTTGAAGCACTCACTCTGCTATCATTCAACAGAATATCCCCAGTAATCTCATATTTTTCAAGGTAAAGTGCATATTTACCTGGTTGAGTTAGTGGGATTCTTGGATGTTGTGATGCTTTTGTCTTGGGAGGAGTACGTGGTGTCTGCCTGAGAGCTAAACAAAAGACATAGGTTTTGAATTCTTAAATTCATCAAGTTTCACATTATTATCGAAGCCTCTGAAAGCTCAGATGTTTGTTGAGTGAAGACCAAAGTACACAGCATTTGCAATTAAAACTCCTAAAAATCTACAAAGTAGAGGTAGATTTTTTTTTACATTACAGAAAACAAAAGAAAAAATATGTTGAATGACACCAGCAAAATAGAACTATTAGAATTTCAGAAATATCTACTAAGAATTCCTTTTAAACAGCTTGAAACTAAATCTCCTACTAACAATAATTCATTCCTATTAGAAATTCATAACATTTCATCAGAATGTCCAGATGTACTAAATGAAATACAATCACATGCAATTTTTCCTATGTAAAAAAGAAAATTGCCAAATTATATTCCAAATATAGGTTTCGTCTTAAGATCAAATCATAATGGGAAAAATTAACCTGATAAAACAAAACACAATTTTTATTGGTTATGCTGGAAAAGAAAAATTGAGCAACAGTCTACAGCCATACCACCCTGAACCCACCCGATCTCGTCTGATCTCGGAAGCTAAGCAGGGTTGGGCCTGTTTGCTACTTGGATGGGAGAAAAATTGAGCAACAAAAAACTTTTCTTCAGGACTATTCTTTTGCTAAGAAATTCCTAAAGAAGTTCTAGGACATTCATTTTAAAACCAATTGCTTCTTCACCAAGGAAGTTAATTATATAACCTGAGGAAGGAAAGGAATTATTAGATGCAATGTTGCAGTTTGGGATAAGACATCATTTTGTTGAACTGAAGTGCATTTGGGATAAAGGAAATAAAATACAGCCTCAGAAGAGAAGTTAAGAAGTTTGCTGAAAATAAGAGTTATTAGACACCAGAAGTTTCTCAATGAGAGTGCAGAAGCTTCTTCCTGATAATAAATAAAAACACACAGGCGTCCAGTGGTTTCAGTGGCAGCTTCTTGCCTATGGAGACATCAACATCAAGATGTCTCAGAGATTACATTGGTTTGTTTACTTTGGATCACTTTGATTATTTGCCAGTCAGTAGGTTATTGATTCAGCTTGTTCATCAAAGTTACATGATTTATTAGACACACTGCAACCTTAAATTTTGATGAACTGAGTTTGATAAGTCATGATTTTCTGATCGTCAGCTCCCTTTCTGAGATTCCAACTGACATGGAAGTTTTCTTCCCCAGAGCAGATAGCAGACCCTACAAAGGTAATGGCGTGTCACAATGCAATGTAATGAAAAATCAGAATAGGGCTGGGGAGACAGCTCAGCAGCTCGGGGGCCTGTCTGCAAGAGCAAGGAGCTGAGTTCAATCCCTGGTAAAAAAAAAAAAAAATCAGAGTAGGAATCACTAGCTGTAATATTTACAATTAGATATTCCAATAATATAAATTATTAGGGCTATTAAAGACATTTTGCAAAGAGATTAGATTTCATTTTTGGAGTCAATATAGAATTTTGGAAAATAATTCAACAGCAGATTTCATTTTTGGAGTCAATATAGAATTCTGGAAAATAACTGAACAGCAGAGTTTACAGGCAATATTTAATAGGGCATTTCAGAATGTAATGAATAAAATTTATGTCCCTATAGCTCTTGTAAATAAAGCCATGCCAAAAAATTAATGACAATCAAAAGTAGAGTTGAGTTTATGCTGAACCTTTAGCCTGTGAAAACCATATCCATTGAAAAGATTTTTCATTGTAAGAAGAGGCACATTTTTTTTTCCATGCTGGTAATTTGTTTTCATTTATTTCAAACTCCACCAAGTACAACTTTATGACTAGCCAGAGTTAATGGTATGATTTTAGTGTCTCTACATACAGTGAAGTGGCCAAATCACTACACAAAAGCATGAAGGAAGTAAGGCCCTAAGGAATGACAGGGTGACTAGCCAGTTATACTGTTTTGTGTAATTATAATATAAAATTTGTTTCTGTCCTCAAACACAAATTAAATGTCTAAAAGTTCTCACATGGCTATAGATGCTATAAAACTAGTCATGATGATAAAGTAATTAAAATTAGAACATACATATCTAGCTAAAATATTATAGAATATACATTTCTTTCCCAGAAATATTTCTAGATACTGAAGTAAATACATGAAGAATAGCTAAGAGATGGTATCAAGCAGCACACTTAAAATATGCACAACACTCTCACTTGAGATCTCACTGATGACAGATACAGAGCTCTATGCCAGACAGGTAGGCTCACCTGCCAAACACTCTGAGTACAGTGCTGAAGCCAGGGGCCTCTGGTGTCCAGATGAGACAAATTGTCATTTTGCACTCACCTCATACATAGCATAAAATTAACGTACCAGGTTCAGTTTGAGGCTCATCGAAACTGGCTAAGACTATAGTTTGGGAAGGAAAGGAAGAGATTTCTATGATGACTGAAGGCGAGTATACGAGGTTACTGTAGTGTTGACACCCCATTATTACAGACAATGGACAGGATGGTAAGACTTTACAAGTGAAGAAAACTGTAAGACCTCAGCAAAGACCACAGTTCTCTTTCTCCGCAATTCATCCGCTTCAAAAATACTTAGAGATGCCGAGTTCTATTGTACTTTTTTATTTTAAAGAGGAAAAACAAAAGCAAGAACTTTTTAAATAAATAAAATCATTAATTTGTAAGCTTTACTTTGTGCTGGGATCTTGTCTCTTAAACATTTCTAGAAAGATATAATCAATAGGAGCCATAAAGGAAAAATGTAATTATAAGAGATGTAACAACACGAGCAAGTTATGAAGGGCAGAATTTCACTTATTAGAGAGAAATGAATGAAACATGGAGATGAGTGTGATAGGGGGAATGTTAATGGAAAGGATGCTGTTAGGTCAGAAGTATCAGTGGATCACCGTAGAAAACTATCACCTGGAACATTCAGCGCAATACCGTATTGGCAGAACAGTCAACACGGAGGGAAAAAAGATGCGTTGCATTCAACACTTTGGCTGATATAGAGTAGAAAAAGAGACCAAAGTCTTGAAGGAAAACTGAAGACGAGAGACATTTTTGGGCAGTGTTCATGACTAGGAACACTTAGAAGAAAATTAACTGTGTGACAATGACGATGGCACAACATGAAGGCATGAGAGAGGCCCGGAGGTTTGCGGGCGATGGTGCAGCGGGACAGACAGCACATGGTTTGGGTTGCCGAGAGTGTCATTACCTAGTGTGATCTCGGGAGGTTCAGACACATACGAAACAGATTCCACAACTGTATCAAAACAAAGGAGAACAATTTCAAAGTATTATAAGTATTTAGCTATCATCATGTGCTTCTTTATTAAATATCAACACACTTCATTCCCAAGAATTTGTATCATTAATTTTACAGATAGTACAATGGATTTCAAGGCAAGATTCTATTTTATTACTTTAAATTACCAACTAATATTGAAATTTTAACTTCATTAAATAATGAGAAGCTCTGTAGAATAAACTCTTCCAATGCTATACTTTTAAATATTATTATGTTTCAATTTTCAGACATCAGTAGAGAAATTGGAATTTATTCTGTCTTTAGTGAGTCAATTATCACTTTAAGAATCTAAGAATATTGGAAGTTACAGCTTTTTAAATCTGTTCAGTTTTAGATCAGTTGTCACAGTGTAAGCATTTATAGTCCATGGATGTCACAAATACTAATTGAAATGTGGTGAATGAATAAATCAAAGCAAGAAAATATTACCACCTTCAGTCTTTGACTCCTCTGGCCTGAGAGGTATTTTGGTAGTGGGATATAGATAAGCTGTTTCAGCTGGTGCTAAGGAAGAAACAGGGAACGGGAAGTCAGTGGTGGGGAGACCGAAGGATGGGTTATAGAACCCTGTACTTAATTTGAAAACATAGGTTAGTTTCATTGAGCAGATACACTCTTGAGTATAGGTAACAGATAGACTATAAGTTAGTAGGGCAGAAAAGAAGGCAGTGTGCTGTGCGAAAACACACAAAGCACACACAACCAGCAGTCTATAACAGTTACTGTCTGGAGCCAAGCAGATAATTTCACTTCCTTACATATTTTTGCACAAGCATTCTACTAAGAGAAAGAGACACATATGTGTCTTTAGGAGGCATGTAGAGGAATCCTAAAGATGCAATGACAAGGAAATATCAGATGTGCATCCAGGTACATATTCATGTATGTGCATATATTTAAAAGGTGAGCAGAAATAGTTGAAAATTTTTATTTAGTGAGACAAAACTAAAGATACTATGGGACTGGCACAGCACCATAGCAGACACTTGTGCCATGTGCCGCACATAGTAACTACTGAGCCCTTGGGATGAGTATACGCAAGATATGGGAAGTGGGTAGCTGTGAAACTCTGCAAAGCATGAAGACATCCAGAGATGACATTTGCAATGAGATGGAAAAGCATATAAGATTGACTTCCCATTGGGGAATATTTTTTACCTATAGTCTCCTTTGATGACTCAGTATTAAATGTAACTGCTTCCAGAATATCAGAAACTAGCAAAAACACAACACGGAACAATTGATCAAGGATGAATTGTGAATATTAAATAAATTATAATAAGCCAAGCATGTAGAACGGCACCTTGTGTCTTGTAAGTGTTCAATGTTAAATCTTATGATATTAACAGTGACATTTGTATTGACACCAATAAAGCTCCAATGACTGAATTGAATTCATCATATAACCGTCGCAAGGTACCAGTAATGACCATAATTTATACCTATATAAAATGTCTCTTATACTATTAAAATACTCAGAAAAGATAAAAAGAAATTACTTTTCTATGCTGGAAAAAGTAGAAAACTTTTCAAAATTAATTATCAGGAAGCATGAGTATTGCTAGTACAGACTTTTAAGAATTTGTTTCCAATTTTGAGTGGAAGTTTGAAAGGTTCACATTGTTAAAAGTGGAAGTTTAGTTTTTCATCTTAGCTGAAATGGGAAATTTCTTCATTGATGATCACAACTGAACTAGCTTCCTTTTAGGTGGCAGAGCAGAAATTTAGCTTACTACTAAGGAGCACTACAAATTCATAACTTTTGATAAAAAATAAGGATGAGGTACATAATCAGTTGCTCTAAAAGATTTGTTGGTCACTTAATAAGAGATCTCATTATTCTCTAAAATAATACACAGCAAACTAAGTGGGGAGAAGTATTTTTATACAGCTAGACACAGTTAATATTAATAGAATGCATTACTAACCACCAATGTGCAAGTATAAACCGAAAAGTCTACAATATTTAGAATTATGAAATTCATATCTTTTTGTGCTTTTATGTTCAGAAGTGAAGCACCTGGAAGACTATCGTTTGTCCTTGGCAGCTCACAGTATAGTCTGACAGATAAAACAATGTATTTACCAGGCAGACTGGAAGCCATTTCAAGGCTTGATGATGTCACTGGTTTCAAAATAAGAGTTTGCAGTTCAATAGGTGCTGAAAGAAGAGGATCTAAGTTGTAAAACTATTCATGACTAGTTATTTCATAGTTTTTAGAAAGAAATACCAATGAAATATCAATTTTGAAGCAAGGTTCAAAATTGCAAGGGTACAAGAAAGCCATGCAAAATGGTTAGCAAACTATATTCCTGCCAAATCCAGAATTCTGCTTGACCTATGAGCTAAGAATGATTTTCAAACTTTTTAAGCACTCAAAAAAAACCCCGAAAAGAATAATATTTTACAAGATGAGAACATGTTATGCCATTTAAATAAAGTTTTAGTGAAACATAACCACATAGTGAACTAAAATGATAGAGAACACAGTTACATAAAAGCGCTGGTTGTCTTTAAAGTACAGCAACAGAACTAAGCAGCTGTAATAGACTGAATGGCCTGCAATGTCTGAAGTATGTGCAGTATAAATTTTCACAGCAAAAACAACACCTGACTCCTATCTGAAGCATCCTTCTGATAGCCTACTGAATCTGAATCTTAGCTTCCGTGAGGGGACCCTAAGAGTTTGCCATAGTCAGTTCTATGTTGGTAATACTATCCATGTGTTGAGTATCACCTGGGAGGGTTTGTTCTATATTCTAGCTTGACTACCCCTTTACCACTTTAAACTGGCACTGAGACTTATTATTTTTTCTGTACCTACCCTTCCACCCATTAATCCACAACCTATTGCTATTTCTCATTCTCTCTGTGTCTCTGTCTCTGTCTCTGTCTCTGTCTCTGTCTCTCTCTCTCTCTCTCTCTCTCTCTCTCTCTCTCTCTCTCTCTCTCTCTCT